AGAGTGTGCCAATGAGTAGGGGGGACACAGGACAGATCTGGAGGGCAGGGGAGAGCCAGAGAAGGACTATAAGTCCAAAGTGCATTTTATTTTCAAATTCATGTGTAGTAAAGTTTACCTTTTTGCAGTGACAAGCATTTTAACACACGTACAGATTCACCCCCACAATCAGGATATAGGGTTCCCTTACCCACCAACCACTTTCCCATATCATAACTTTGTATCACACCCTCCCTGCACCCGTCGCTCCTGGCAACCACTGACGTGTTCTTCATCTCTATAGTTTGCCTTTTCCAGAAGGTCAAATAGATGGAATCACACAGCTTTTTAAAAATGACAAATTCTTTTGTCATTGATGAAGTCTTTCACTCAGCATAATTCCTTTTCGATTCATCTAAATTGCTCACTCATTGTCATTGCTGAGTAGTCCTCCATTGTATGAATGTACATTGTATGTAGGATTTGTTCAACCACTTACCCAATGAAGGACATTGGTGTTGTCTCCAGTATCTTGCTATTAAAAATAATGCTGCTGCGAACATTTGGGTACAGGTTTCTGTGTGAATGTAAATTTCTATTTCTCTGGGATAAGTGGGCAGAGGTGTGATTGCTGGGTCACATGGTAAGTTCATGCTGAGTTTTATAAGAAAACTGCTAAATTGTTTTCCAAAATGGCTATTCCCAACAGCAACATATGATAGACAGACCCTCACGGGCATTTAGTACCATCGTTATTTTTAAATTTCAACTGTTCTAATTAATAAGTGTGCTGTGATACCTCATGGTGATCTTAATTTGCATTTCTCCAAGAGCTAATGATAATGAACACTTTTCCATGTGCTTATCTGCCATCTGTATCTTCTCTTCAGTGAAATATCTGTTCTTGTTTCTGTACACCTTATAATTAGATTGTCTTTTTACTGTTAAGTTTTGAGAGTTTTATATATACTCTAGATACTGGGTCCTTTGTCAGACAAGTGATTTGCAAATATCGATATTTTCTCTTAGTCTGTATTTGGGTCTTTTCATCCTTTTGTCTTTTGCAATGTGAAAGTTTTCAATTTTGAAGTCCATCTTATTAATTTTTTTTTCACGGAGGATATTTTTCATGTCTTAGACGTGATGTCTAAGAATTCTTCAGCCCTAGGTCCTGACTGTGGAGGCATGTCATGAGTCTATACATGTGTTAAAATGCATATAACTGTACAAAAAAAAGTAAATTTACAGCATATTAATTTGAAAATAAAATACAGCTTTGACTTACAGCCTTACTTTAGCTTTCCCCTGCCCTCCAGATCTGCCCAGTTTCTCCTTCCAGGCCCTGTATGCCTTCAGAAGGGCCTTGATTCAACCACCAGATGGCAGCTGTAGACACCAGATAAGCTTTCCAAAGTCACATCTCACGCTTCAGAAGGTACTTAAATAGCAAACCATCCAGTCCTGATTGCTCATCAGAATATCAGAAAACTCCACACCCTTCCTCGCCTGGATTTCTCTAGTAACACACAAGAAAGGGCTTGTGAATTCACAAATAAGAACAAACTCTTGAAAAGCTGCTTGGTCCCACTGTGAGCCCCAGTCTCTCTGGTGACATTGGGCCCTGCCCATCACCAGTCCAGCAGAAAGGTCCTGGGATTAGCTAGCTGCCCAGGACATCTCCTGAGGCCCCAGCCATCAGCCACCCGCAGCTCCACACACTCACTGAGCCCAGACTCCACATGTCTAGCATGCTGGGTGGGATGAAAAGTATGACTGTTTAGCGGCCATTTCCTATGCAGGCGTAGATGTTGTCTCCAGTGCTCTGATATTTATTGTTTCCTTCCTTCTGTCAACTTTGGGTTTAACTTGGTCTTCTTTATCTAGTTCCTTAAGGTGTAAGGTTTAGTTATTGATTTGAGATTTTCCTTCTTTTTCAATGTATCTTTGTATAGCTATAAATTTCCCACTGAGCACTGCTTTTGCTGCATCCCATACCTTTTGATATGCTGTGCTTTCATCTTCATTCATCTCAAAATAGTTTCTAATTTCCCTTGGGATTTCATCTTTGACTCGTTTGTTGTTTAAGAGTATGTTGTTTAATTTCTATGTGTTTGTGAATTTACAAGTGCTTCTTGTTTTATTGATTTCTAGCTTCATCCCACTGTGGAATTTGTATGATTTCAATCTTTTTAAATTTACTGAGACTTGTTTTGGGACCTAACACATAGTCTATCCTGGAGAATGTTCTGCATGCATTTTAGAAGAATGTGTGTCCTATTGTTGTTGGCTGGAGTATTTTGTACATGTCTATTAAGTCTAGGTGGTTTATGGCTCCTAAGAGTTGTAAGCAGTACAGTTACATGACCAAAGTCCCATTTTTAACATATCCTCTGTTTAAAGAACTGACTGGAGGCAGGAAGACAGTGAGGAAGCTGTTGCAGATACCAGGTAAGAAGAGACATCTGGGGGTGGCAGAGAAGCTGGAGAACAGCAGGTGGAGAGCTGGCTTCCCACTGGGTGATGCATGTTCTACAATCTAGGAAGGGACAAATAGGCCTCAGGATGACCTGAGGGGATCTGTCTGGAGCACTGTCTGTGCCCTTGACCCAGCTGGTCACCATCAGCCAGACAAGGGGAACCTCACCAGGCACTCTTCCCTTGCTCAGGGTTACCTGGAGCTGACTCCAAGCAAAGAGTTACAAACCACGACTCTCCCACACCAGCCTGAGAACTGTGGGAGAAGGCTGCTGCCTCGCCGAGGGGGCCATCACAGGCGCTGTTTTTCAAGAAATAATCAGGTGGTCCCAATATTTATATGTATCTAAGCACAGCACCTGCCTGAAGGTTTCTCTCTCAATACATTAGTTCATTTGTGCTTCAAAAAGCCAAAAGGAGAGGAATCCGACCACTTCTAATTGACATGCAGCATGGGGTACCTTGAGTTGTACCTGAATGTTTGTCCTGTATCCTTACCCAGAAGGCTAACTCCTTGGGAGCACAAGACATGTGCTGCGTCTCCACGCCCCTGCAAGCCTAAGGGGCGTGGAGTGGAGGACGGTGGGCCTGAGGCTGCTCCCTCAGGGGTCCCAGCTGCTCCCGGAGGAGGTCCAATGTCAGCAGTCCCAGCGCTGCCCGAGGGTTAACAAGCCCTTTCACCAGCTGCGGAAGGACCCCCCTCCTGTGGGCTGTCCCAGGAAAACTGTTCCAGAGTGACGAATCCAGGGCATGCTGCCTGCTACATTATTTTCCGAACTTCCTAGGAAATGAACTATTTATTTCACTGTTTATTTTACTTAGGAGAAGATAGAAAGGAAGCTAGTTCTTCCATGAGCAGCAGCGCCCCCACACTTAGCTCACAGGGTTGGCCAGTCACATCACTGGCCACAGGGGCTTTCCACAGGCCTCCCAGCTGAGACCGCCCACCCCATGCCAGAGAGGGGGCCTCGAAGCCCTCCTCCACTGGGAAATAGAGTGGCAAATAAAGGCTCCTAGGGACCCTTTGCCAGGCTCAGCATCACATGAGTGCCAACCCCAAGAAAAAGAGTCACTGTGGCGGGGAACCCATGCTCCAAGTAGGTGAAACTGAAAGAGAAGATCAGACTGACACTCAATGACCCCCAATCTGCATCGAGAAGCCAGTGCTGGGGGAGAAGCAGGGCCGGGAGGTTGGGTATGGGGCCGGTGACCAACGTCCTTAGCACCTCACCCTGCTTTGCGTTAGATCTCCTTCCACAGGAGATCTAGCTGTCACTGTCTCCCCAACCAGCCTGTGAGATAACCCTGGGGAGCAGGGGCTGCGCCTCATTCCCACCTGGAGTCCTGCCTCCCTAAAAAAAATGCACAGATCTGTGGAAACATACACAATTCTGTTTATAAATGTGGAAGGATCACAGCTTCCCATTCTCCGCTCTCTATCTGTGTGGACTCGGGTTTCGCCCCCAAAAAACATTTGCTCTATTGAGGGGGGTGGGCCAGGCTGTGGGGAGGCAGGCGTCCCACTCACCGCTGCAGGCATCTAATGGGACCAGCTGTGGAAGGCAGCTTGACAGTCCCTCAGAATTACAAATGCACGCTCCCCTTCACCCAGCAGCCCCACTTCCTGGGACGTACACTTCATTTGTACTTGTACACACATGACAAGAAATGCGAGGTTACTCACTGCAGAACAAAGAAGAAACCCAAATGATCATCAACAGGCTATAGATTAAATAAACTATGGTACATCCATATAATGAAATACTGTACTATTGTGAAAACATGACGTTTTTAAGGTACTGATAGGGAAGAATCCCAAGACATATTGCTAAATGGAAAAAAGCAAAGTGAAGGATTGCATTTATTTTAAAATAAGTACCTACTTAAATATATACGTAAAGGCACAAGACAGTGGTAGCTATGATTGCCTCTGGGTAGGGGAGTAGGGAGGGGTGGCTGGGGACAGAGACTAGGATAGAAGTCATTGCATATGCTTTTGAAGCCACTGGTTTATGAATCATATAAAGACATGAAGTATTTTTTTTAAAATAAATGCATTAAAGTAAAAAAATAGAATGTCTTGCTCAGGATACATGAGTAGGCCATGCACCTTGGCCAAGCAGCGGCTCTGGCTAAATGGTTTTCGATCTCCATAACGGGCCTGGGAGAAAAAGTCTGGCCTGAGCCACAGGCGCACAATCCTGGACTCCCACCTCTGGCTGCTACTCCTGCAGCTGACCCACTGTAGCACCTGAAGGGTCTTCTCAAGTCCAGAAACTGGCTTCTTCCAAAGAAAAGGGCACAAGCCTCACCCACCACAAGCATTTCCATCCTTAGATCTGCCAGACATCCCGACCACGTACGCATCTCGCTGCTAATGACACACGGAGCCAAGTGGGAAGGACGAACACACACCTCGACCTTCCGAGGCTGCTCTGGAGTAAAATGGGTCTCCTGGTTACCACCAGCCCCCGAGTGCTTTCAATCCTCACTCTCTCCAGACCCATCACACTGTACGTGCACTCACTGCGCCAAGCGCTTGCTACCTGAATGGCTGCTCATCATGCGGACAGCCTTGGCCTTGGCCAGCTCCAGGGCGGTGATCCACTGCTGCCGCTCCACCTCCGAGCTGGCCTTGAGGTGGTAGGTCCTTGCCCCACTGGTCAGCACGATACCGCAAGAATCCTCCGTGTCAAAGTGCGCGGTGGACAGGTTGATGGTGCCACGGCAGGTGTGGGCCATTTCACCCTGATTTCTGTAGGATGCAAGAGAAGGTATGGGTTGAGGCTCCCAAACTCAATAGCTCCAGACTGAAGAAAACCGCAGGGAAAATCCTCAGAATCTCAGACCCTTGGAGCTGGGAGAGGCCCTGGAGTCAGAGCTGGGAGATGATGCCTATTGGGACTGACTGGTTGAGACTTGGCTGAGGGGCACTCAGTGGGCAGAGTGGCAGAGGGAGAAGGGCCTGCATTGGTGCCATGCGCAGGGCATGCCTCTGTGGGCTGAGCCCTTGCAGACATCAAGAAATGGAGAAGGGTGACTGCCCAGGGTCCTGCTAGGCAGCACAGACCTCTCACTCCATCACAGGCTCTTCCCACTAAGTCTCGGAACCACAGAGATGGAACAGGATAGAAACCTGCCACTAAAGCTGAGATTAGAGATCCAGAACTCCAGGGGGTCGACTTGGAGGCATCCCCTGCTGGGGGTGACCTGGAACCAAGATCCACAGAGACATGGCGCCACCATCCTCCTCTAGCTCCACAACGAAGGCAATGGCTGGGCCAACACACGCTCCTTTATGACAAGGGACTGATCACCCTTTGCTGGTTACAAGATTATGGAGCTGATGGTACCCAAGTAAGAGGAAGTGGAGGTAACTAAAGTGTGGGCCATTTACAGTTGTGACCAGTGTCTGAAAACTGAGACCCAACTCTTGCAACTACTTAACTCACTCTCCCTCAGAGAATCAAAGGAAATTCAGAACCTCCAAAACGTACTGAATCTCTTTCCACAGAGGGTGCTGGAAAAGGAAGAGCAATTGATCAGCACATCGCAGGGCCGGTGGCAGGAGCCCTCTGGGCAACTTTGCTGCCCTTTGATGCTCATTTATTTTCGCTGTCATCATCTGTCATTTTCTTAATCTTTCTGCCATTTCTAAAGTCAAAAATGACATGGCACTTCATGAGATATTCATCTTGCATTTGAACAGCTGCTGCCTTTTCTGATTCCCTCCTACTTTGACATTCCTTAGAGAAGATGATGTAATTTATACCTGAGGAAAGGCCCAGTTCTTGGGGGCTGACATCGTCCACTTGAAGGAAATTCATTCTAATTTGCAAAATTGTCGATGCTGGGCACGCCTGTTGGAAGCCTATGGTTTTAGATTTAAGGATATTTCAGGCTAGAGATTGTTCAGGTATTAAATAGTATCATAACCAACCAGAGATGACATTACAGCTTAGCTCGAAAAGAAGCGGGGGACGGGGGCGTGTTCTAGGCAGAGGGAAAAGCAGGGGCAAAGACTATGAGGCAAGAAGCAGTTTGCAGCTCTCAAAGAATAGAAAAAGCTTCTGTGTGGCTGGTGCACTGAGAATAAGAGAGCGGGTAAGAAAAAAAATGAGCTGGAAAATCAGGCAGGGACCAAATGCTGTACCTTACAGGCCACACAAAGTATACAGATTTTTAACCCAAAACTAAAAATAGTGGGCCTCCTGTGCCTAATGTCAGAAAGAAACAGAGATGACCTAGAGGGCCAAAAGTTCCCATGGAAAACAGAGAATAAAAGTGCCTTGTGCACGGTGAGAGATGGAAGCCAGGCCACTGTGTGAAATCAGGGCTGGGCTGGAAGATATCCAGTGGCTGCTGTATTGGATTACAACCCATCTCCTAAAATAAATACCCATGAGTCCACACTGATATAAGTAAATAATTGAAGGAATAAATAAATGGGGAAGAAGGGACAGAGCTTCCTTAATAAGATTAGATGGAATTATGGAAATAGAAAAATCACTAAATGCAATGTGGGATCCTGAACTGAATTATAAAATAGGAAAAAGATATTAGTGGAAAAACTTATGAAATACAAATAAAGATTGAAGTTCAGTTAATAGTATTATAATAATGTTAATTTGATGGTCTTGATAATTGTGCTTTGGTGGGGGTAAGATGTTAACATTAGGGGAAGCTAGATGAAGAGTATATGGGAACTCTGTACCATACATGAAATTTTTCTGTAAGTCTGTTATTTCAAAATAAAAATAAAATTTCATGAGGCCATCATTTCTTCTCAGGGTCATAGATAATATGAAGTTTTGTGGATAGAACCTGAAGTGTCCTGCTCTCAGGCTTGGTGAGTAGACTGGAGATATTTCCAATGTCACTGAAGGCCAGAAGCCCCAAGCCCCCATCATGAAGCCTGGTTCTGGACTGGACTCTCTAAGGCGGAGATGCTATAAAAATCACTAGACCAAGAAGAGTAGAATGGTGAGGGAGGCTGGGGGTGGAGGGGTAGGGAGGGAGAATTTTCCAGTCAAGAGAAGCCTGAAAATCCAAAATTCGAAATCTTGGAAGTAAATTGGTGCTAATAAAAAGGCTAATAGAATCAATGCTCAGAGGATGAATCGCTTGAGACAGAATAAAACTATCAGAACAATATAAAAAAAATTAATGTAAACAGGTTTAGGATTCTCAAAGAAGACGGAATAACATCCAATAAAAGGAACAATATTTGTGAAACAAAAGTAGGAAAAAATGAAACAAGAACAGGTAGACATGAGAAAGTAACAAAAGAATTTCAGAAAATGAAGATATAGCAGGTAAGCTATACCATCCACCTAGTACTCACATCTAAATTTAACTTGAACTCATTGTAATTAGAGTTACTTTCCATTTCAGCACTTGAGGAGCTTCATTTTTCAGTTTTACTTCTCTGTTATCTGGAAGAACTTATATAGAGGCAGGTGTGAATTTGGGTCTAAAGGCCCTTTGAAATGATCAAGGTTCAGTGCACTTGCTTGTCTTGGAATTTAGCTGTGCTTCTTTTTTTCTTTCATTTAGATATTTTGTGGCCAATCCCTTCTCCACCAGTAGCCAAAGTGATTTTTTTGTCCTGTTTAGTCATTTAAAAAAAATTTCAATGGCTTCTAATTCACTCCTGAAAGAGCCTAAAATTCAGGGACATATCTTAAAATTCAGGTTGCTTTTGGGAGTGGTATACCTGCCCATGTTGCATATAAAAGGTTCTGTTTCTCCCACAGTGAGTTTTGGCTAAGGTAGTGCTCACTCTGAAGGCCTGCCTTCCAGGGCCACCTCAAATCTTAGATGGTGGGCAAGTTCAGACCCCACTCGCAGCGCGCTGTGAGCTGCAGTGGCAACTCCTCTCCCTGCTGGGGCCTTAGGACGTGCACAACTCAGAACCATCTATGTTCACTGAGCCCTGGGCAGCTTCAGTGGCCTCACTCCCACAAGACAAACCGGTGCCTAGTAGGCACTAGGGCCACGTCCCACCTTAGAGGGGTAAACAACGTGTCCTTAATTTCTACAAGGAGTTTCCGGTAATGGGGCTGCCTCCCGTAGCACCGCTGCCACAGTTACTGAATCCGTATCTGCTGGCCTCGATTCCCGTACAGTACAGCCTCAGACCGAGTCGCCCATTTCAGCTAAGGAGGTGCACCAGTGACTCCTGGCTGTGCGGTTCACGGGTCTCACCACGAGCACTGCCATCACTCAGGGGCAGCCAGTCTGACAGAACCATGGAATGGCCTATTGAAGGCCCAGCTGGGGCGCTGACGGGGGAGATGGCTTACGGGCTTGGTTCCCTCGACTGCATCCTGCCCTGTCTTTTTCCGTTGGTGCCTTGTCCTTGCCCAGCTGTCCCTCCACTTCTGGACTTGCATAAAAAGCCACAGTCAGAAATGGAGAGGGAAGTGAATGGGGTGGGTAAATTCCCCCTCTGCTGTCCCCTCCACGGCCTGCTCGGAGGTATGTTTTCTCCTTGCATGCCTTCTAGGCAAGTTCATGCACCAGATCTGTGCACTGCATCGCTCTGCAGCTCGCTGAAGTGGTGTCCAGCGAGGTAATGCACTGTACTGCCTTCTCACTTTTCTCTCTCCTCCACTTCACTTTCCGTTTCTGCATCACTGCCCTGGGATTGCATCTCCCAACCAAAATGAGCTCTTTAATCTTTGCCTGGGGCTATGTTTTCTAGAGAACCTTCACAAAAATGTTCAGGGGCAGAAAAAAAGACAGGCAGCAAATTTGAAACCAGACACATGGAAAGACAAAAGCTTTTAATCTGCAGCATTTAGTCCAATGTGTGACTTTCATTCAATGGCAGTTCAAGCTGTCTCTGAGTCACTTAGCAAATATCACCCCCCTGCCCCACCCCTGGGCCCACCAATCTTCTAAAGTTTAACTCAGCAAGTACTTCCTTTGGGCTACTACATAAAGAAATTGTGCTAGAAACTGGAGAAGGTAGAGATATTTGGATAAATTAGACATATTTGGGGGCCTCAAGGAATAATTCATTTGTGAAACAGACAGGCCTATAAATTGCAAGCTACTATCTAATAAGCAGAGGGAAATAAATGCAAAATAAAGGGCATGTTCACTATGAGAATTTATTGAGCATGTACTCTTATAATTTATCACTTCTCTGTATGTATGTGACATATATACAGTATGTTCTATGTTGCATACATATCAGTTGTCAATAAAATGTTGGCTTTAAACACAAACTCCAAACAAAAGAATAAGCTATCGGTGGTAGGAGCTCAGGAAACAGAATGACCATTTCTGTCCCAGAGGGGCTGAGGGCGTACACTGCTGCAGTCTCAAACAATGAGCGGACTCTGCCCCAGCAAACCCACAACAGCGGTGTTGCGGGAATGTGGCTCTGGGAAAGCCCAGAGATCCAGAGCAGCCGAAGGATCTCTCAAGGAGCAGCTGATTCCAGCCGTGGTCTGGAATGATGATGGGTGGTGTGAATTAAACAGGGTGTCCCCTAGAAAGATACGTTTAAGTCCTGACCCCCAGTACCTGTGAATGTGACCTCATTTAGGGTCTTTGAAGATATGATCCAGTTAAGATGAGGTTAATCATTAGGGTAAACCCTAATCCAGTATGCCTGTTGTCCTTATAAGAAGAGGGAGAGAGAGACAGACACACAGGGAAATGCCATGTGACAGTGGAGGCAGAGAGTGGAGTGAGCATCTACAAATCAAGGGGCAGCAAGGATTACTGGCAAAAACCGGAAGC